GGGACACCTCTCTCTATTATGTTGCCAGTTACAGTAGGAAATTATATTATAAAATATAAGAAAATAGAGTTGATTCATATCTCTAATGTTATATCGTTCGATTATTTATTATTCACTCTTCCATGTTTTTTTTAAGGAATGTGTTAGAAATTGAAAATCAGTTGTGTTTTTAACTTAGATATGTATTCAAATTTTACATGAATTTAAAATATGATTAAATCATAATATATAAATTATAAAATCATAGAATTTTATAAAATGAAGTTAAAATAATGTATGTTACTTAATTGTGTCCAATTAGCATGTTATAAGATTTGTTTTTGTCATTCTATATTCATTAAACTTTTCTTTCTCCCAAAGTGAAGATGAGTAATGAAAAAAATAAATATGAATAATATGTTGCGTTTTGGTACATGAGTCTCATATTTTTTTAAGAGTTGAAGAAAAAATAATTTATTTACATTCTCCTTGACCTATTAAAACGTCTTTTAAGGATAAATTCATAACAAATCAAAACTTAAAAATAGATAATAATCCAAAGCGGACATAAGACTAAAACACTCTCATTCCTAAACTGAACATGTTGAAATACCTTAAGTTTATAGTTTAGCTTTTAAAAATATTTTAAGAATAATAAAAAAAATTTAAAATTTATGAAGGTCTAACAAATTTTATGTTTATAAGTATTTTTTTATATTATAAAGTGTTCAAAATATGATTTTAGCGTTAATATTTTCAAATTAAATCTGTAATTACTCAACTAAAAATAATGCGGTGAAATTTTTAAATTAAAATTATTTTTTTTTAGTGTGACATAAAATTTGTTTTAAATTTCTTTTGAACGATTGAGACGACGACAACATGGTGACCTTTTTGAGCTTCAGTGAGTTGCGGCGACACTATCATATTAATTTATTTTTAATTTTGGACGTTTCTCCCCAATTATATTAGAACATTTGGATATCTATTGTGTGATTGATGTTCATACTTTATGTCTCTATTTTATTTTTATTGAAATTGAAGTCTGGTTTGTTTTTGTTATAAAAATAGATTCTGCAAAACTCTATTGAACCCATCAAAGAATGATTAATACAAAGAAGATAATTATGAGAGTAAAAGTTATATCTCATTGATTTATTACAAACCTTATATAGGCATTACAAACAGTTATTCTGTTATAAGACATAACAGAATAATAATCCTTTATTAACTCCTTAACAACCATAAAGTCTCAAAGTCACTACTAACAATTTCTCCACCTTGGCTGGACTTTATGCTACGCAACCTGTAAAATCTTCAAACAATGTTTGAACTTGGGCCCTTCTTGGTTCTAAAATCTTTCTTTTCTGACCTGCCTCTTGTATACAAACCTTCAGCATCTTGATTTCTTCCAACTTCAGACTTCCTATTCAGTTCCTTTGAGAATAAGGCAGATTGGACCTCCTCCAATGACAACGTGTCTCTGCCATAAATGAGCGTGTCTGCGAGAGTATCAAACTCACTAGGTAACGATCTCAGCAACAACAAGGCTTGGTCTTCATCATCAATCTTGATTTCAATATTATCTAGATCAAGAACGATCTTATTGAAGTCATCTAAATGATCTTCCAACCCCTTTCCTGCTTGCATCTTGAATGTATACAATTTCTGCTTCAAATACAACCTATTTGCCAAAGAGTTGGTCATGTATAGATTTTCCAATTTGAGCCAAATCGCAGCAGCAGTCTTCTCCTTCGAGACTTCTCTTAGAACCTTGTCACCCAAAGAGAGAATCAAGGCACTATGGGCCTTATTAAGCGTTTCCTTCTTCTCCTTATCAGATAATGTGGCTGTCATTTTTGGTTCACCAAGCAACGCTTCTTCAATTCCTTGTTGAACCAGAAGAACTCTCATCTTCATCCTCCAAATGGTGAAATCATTCTTGCCCGTGAATTTCTCAATATCAAATTTCGCAGAACTCATCTTAACCTCCTAGAATATCCGACCTTGCTCTGATACCAATCTGTTATAAAAATAGATTCTGCAAAACTCTATTGAACCCACCAAAGAATGATTAATACAAAGAAGACAATTATGAGAGTAAAAGTTATATCTCATTGATTTATTACAAACCTTATATAGACATTACAAACAGTTATTCTATTATAAGACATAACAGAATAATAATTATTTATTCCCTAACAACCATAAAGTCTCAAAGTCACTACTAACCGTTTTTGTAATCTTAATCACAGTAATGCATGAATGTCTCAATTGAGTTCTTTGTAGTAAAACCTTTGAAGAAAAATATGAAGGTTCATAACTCTACCAAACAAAGTCGAAAGATAAGGACAACATAAAATCTGGAAAACACAAAGATGGTAACAAAACACAAAATACTTAAATAATCTCTCTTTATCTTATCAAGAACAAAATACAATATAATTGAAAATGAAATATACTTTTTAATACGAAATAAGTGAATAATATGATTCTACTTAATTCCGTTTATGGAGGAGTCATAAGAGAAAAATTGAAAGATAAGTGGAAAAGTAAATAAAAAAAATTAAAATTCTATTAAAAAAATATTGAATGTGCAAAGAAATTTATGTAAAATATACCATAACTGATATAAGATCTTAATAATGATATCAATTAATTACTTTCATATAAATTAATAAATTTATCTCTCTCCACATTAATATCGGAAAACATACCTAAAAATATCTTTTATATCAGTGACATGAAATAGTAATATTTTATTAATTAAGGTAAAAAGAGGAAAAAAGAAATTAACTTATGAAAAGTTGTACCATAAAAGCTAAACTAAAGGAAGAAGACAAAACACATTTTACCCATATCAAGAAAAGGACATTTTACTGTAAACTATCACTACTCGTGGTCACATGCCTCTTTCTATCCTCAAAAATTGATATCTAACCAGTGTTTAAAACATATTGAAATGAAAGAAAAATAAAATAAAATAAAATAATAAAATGATTGATACTTGCTTCAGTTTCTATAACAAGATTCCATAGTTATTAACGACACACTTAAGCAATGCGAATATTAAAAAATGTCGTTGTTTTTCAAACTATGAAAAAGAAAATCAAACTATGAAAAAGAAAATCAACTAGTTTTTAACTTTTTTTTTAATTAATTACCAAAATTAATTGAATTAACGTGTTTGCTAAACAAGATCTTTATAATATATTCCAGTGTTCTTTATATTTTTTTCAATAAAGTAAAACAATTCATAGTTTTTTTATATTATACCATTTATTTTAACTATTATATTATTTATGATATTAATTTTATTAATCATTATTATACTTCAAGAAATGGATAATGTTGAGCTTTTTGATCAGTTTAATGTTTAGCTACTTATTTTAATCAATAGACTAATGAATATAACATATTCTTAATTATATATGTTTTACTTAATGTAAATTTGATTGAAAATATTTCAAGATATAATATAAAATTAATGGTAGAGTATATAATTAAAATATATATATATATATATATATATATATATATATAATAGCTGAAACTAAAATAATTAATCTGAAAATCTTATAAATCAAGAGTTAAACATAATTTTTAAAAAAGTATAAACACCTCAAAGTGTTTTATTCATTAAATTTATATAAAAAATATTGTATAAATATATATATATATATATATATTATTTTACATTTTCAATTATTTTAATAGATAATTTGTCTATATATTATTTATAACACTAATTTTTTATTAAATATTTATTATAAAATATCTTAGAGCATTTAAAAAAAATATTATTAAAAATTATTTAAGAATAAAAATAAATATTTTATTATAAATCTTAACTTTCAGATGTTGAAAAATAAAACTATTTAAAACGGGAAGAAAATTCTTTATATAAACCACTCTAATCAATTTTTAATCGACTCGTCTTTAAATTTCATCACAAAATTTTCAATTTTATTTTCAAAACGTTAGCTTTTCGCTAATCAAATAGTTTTTCAATTTTCATCCAGCTTGCCAGATAATTCATTTTTTATAATCTTTGAAATCGCAAAGTCTGATATGAAACGCAATTTTTTGTTTGAATTTAATATGATTTTCCAGTTATTGGTAACCGTCCTTTGAAAACCTACCAATAAAATTATTATTAATATATTTTCAAATCAAAATCTACCTGTGAAAGTATATAAAATAATATTATAATACTATTTTTAATCTACGTGTACAAAATTTAAACGTAGTAATTTTTTATTTTTATTTTTTTTGTAGGCACACCAATTTCACTTTATTATGGACCTTTGGGCTTCTTCAAAAGTCGTTGGGGCAATTTTGAAAATTTGGACAACCCTAATTGCTTGTTGAAGTTATAATTTCTGGGCTGGCCTTTAGCTTGTATGATTTTCCTCAAAGGTTTATTCAAACCTTTGACCACACTTTATGTTTGACTTCAAATCAAATGATTAAAGATTTTCAATTTCCCTTGCTTTTGATTGTTTCAAGATCTGCCTTTTTTCATGATTAAGAGACAATGAAACAGGGAATTTGTCTTCTTTTCAATCAATATAAGGTTGAAAAATAGTCATTTTCTTTAAAGACTAATCAAAGGAACTTCTTAAACAAATCAATGAATGAATCTTGAACTTCATTAGCTTATAGAAAAGCTTTAACAAAGAAATGAAATCACCATTCATTTTCTTGCAATTTTTACTGATAAATATTAAAATTTGTATACAATTTTTGATGTACAAGATGACAATATCTCAAATCCAGCACACCCTTAATCACTAGTTTAATTTCACAGCCCTACTCCAAGCACTTCCCTTGTATCTTCATTCTTCACACATTTGTTCAACCCTTATCCAATTCAACAGCCTAACAAACATAAAATTTAGCATATTCATCAATCCCTCCTACCCCAATTGACTTATCAACTCAAAAAAGGATAAATCACATTTAGAAAAATATTAGCACATCAAGATGTTATGTTGAAACTAAAGATAAGATAATTTTGGTCATGAAGCATTAGACTCATCATCATCATCATGTTCTTCATCATAATCAAGCAAATCAAAGAAGGGATCCTTGAGCAACTCTGCAGCAGAAGGTCTAGCCCTTGGCTGCGCAAGACACCTCTCAATGAAGGCCTTCACTTCAGGATCTCTGATCTTGCTCAAGGCTTGAGGTCTCACACCTGATGACACCTTCTTGTATATCTTGGCAACATTGTCACATTCACTATAAGGAATCTCTAGAGTTACCATCTCCAACACACACATTCCAAATGAGTATATGTCAACCATTTCAGTGTAGTCCTCATCATATAACTCAGGTGCCATAAATTCTGGTGTCCCAAGAACTGAATGTGCAGAGTGGCTCTTCCCTACAATTGCTGCCAAACCCAGGTCACCAATCTTAACCTAACATACATGAAAACAAAAAAATATCACTTATGACATCTTGAAATAAACAGCAACCAGAAAATCATGGATAAATGTTTTCGGTGTAATCACAAACACTTCAAAAACCTTGACATTGCGGTCTTTCAAAAAAATTTCGCTTTTGGTTGATTTTTAACTTCATAATCAAGAAAAACATGTGATGGAAGAAAACTTATGATTGGGGAAAAGAATGTTACCTGGCCAGTGTTCCCATTGACAAACACATTACTGCAGTTGAGGTCTCTGTGGATGATACAAGGGTCATGCAAATGCAAGTAATTCAACCCTTCCAAAATCTGCTTGGACCACTTTTTCAAGGCCTTCATGGACACATGCTTGTGCTTCTTCCTGTACTCCCTCAGATTCCCACTGGTGCAGACCTCAGTGATGAAATTTAAAGTGTTGTGCTTCTCATCCCTGCAAACATTGTAAAGGGATATGATGTTTTTGTTGGTTAAGCTTCTGAGCAATCTCACCTCAGAGTAAAGCCTTTCCACCATTGCAGGGTCATTACTGAAGTTCCTCAGTTTCACTTGGTTCCAAGCCACCTCTATCCCCTCTTCTTGATCAAATGCCCTGTACACCTTTTTCACAGCACCACATCCAAGCAGTTCACTGTATCTGCCATATCTTCCAGTTGGATCAACTTCAACAAATGGTTCTGAGTCTTTGTCAGATGCACCAGGCTTAACACTTGGCATCTAGCGCCAAAACATTAATCACAACACCATCAAAATAAAGTGCAAAAAGTTAAATAAATACACACAAAAAAATTCTTACTAGGTCTATCTTTCAGAGAAAAATATCATCAGTTACTCTAATCTGCTGGAGAAGAAAAGGAAAAAAGTATCCAGCCCATCATCAAAATTCACATAAAGATTCCTATTTTCTACATTAGAAAATAAGAAAAAAAAATATGGCTAGTTGGTATGCACGAAATTTAGATCAAAATTAGGCAAATAAGGAAACAGAAATAAAATCTCGTTATGGCTATTGGGATCATTGAACACATTAGCAGAATTATATGAAAAATTGATAACAAAACATAATGCATAATAGAGAAAGGTAACGAAATAATGATGATTACCATGAAGGAAAACCAAATGCTATTTGAAGAAGAAAGAGGAGCTGAAGAAACAAGTTTGTGAGAGAAAGTAGAATTAGACACAAAAACAAGTAAGGGAGGTATTGAAGGAAACTGTGTATATATACACAAAATCAAGGAGGGTACGCTAGTCAAAAGGGTAATTTCATCAGGATTGGATTAGATATTAGATATCAGGAACTGTTTTATACGATCTTTTTCTAATTCACAAACGATGATAACGAAAATATTAGATATTCCTTTAATGGGTTTAATCTACTGAAAATCTTTTAAAAATATCCGTTTTGTTGTTCAAATTGCGAAAAGTAAAATGAATTTACTTCACAAAATATGATTCAAAGATACAACAATCACAAATAACTTCATGCTACAACATAGATTATTTATCATAAATGTAAAATATAAGCTATACAGTACAAAGTATAAAAATGTTTAACACAATTATTAGAAAAAATCACTAAATTTATCATATATATATATATATATATATATATATATATATATATATATTTGAAGGAAAACAAATTATTGTAATCTTTGCTTCCTATATTTAGCACATGTCTTTGAATATTTGATTGTTTTTTTCAAGTTTCTGACTTTATTGTACACCAGAGTTTCATGGTAACCCTAGCCACAGGGGAGGGATAGTGTTAACTTTTTCCAAAATTGTGTTGAAAAGAGAAGGAAAGAAAAAAGGTGCAGGAATCATATTCTGAGACGGTAGTTAACATGAATCTCACAATGCCATGGCAATGGTGCTATTTTTTAAATGTTATTTCAAATTTAGTTCTTTTAAGTTTTTTTAATTCATATAAATTTGAAAATGTTGGTATAATTTGTTTATTTACTATATTTGTAAATGTTATTGCCCTTTCTTTTGTATATTAAAAAGTAGATATTAGTAGTTAAACGAGATAATTTGTTTTAACCAAGTTAACTAACAATTTAATTACTTGATAATTTGTAATTCAATTTACAGTTAAATTAATATTAATCTAAAAAAATAATTTTTTAAGATTTTTAAAATCATTATTAATAATAATAACTATTATTATTATTATTATTATTATAATATATATATATATATATATATATATATATATATATATATATATATATATATATATATGGATTTAGGAAACACGGCCCCCTTAATTTTTTTATATATAATAATTATATTTAAAAAAAAACAACTTCATAAATATAAATTAAAAAAATATTTTTATTTTTTTCTCCTAATTTTTTCTTTATAATAAATATTATATTTATTCTCTTGTACAACTAATGTTATTAATAAAATCGAGTAGTTAATTACTTTATCATTTTATTTATGGTTTCATGTTTCTGAATATTCCAGTTAGATGGAAATATCACAGAAACAGAAATCTTGAAGAGAGGGAAGAGTGAAAGTGATTCAAAACAAGGTAATTACACGTGTTCCAAAAAGAAAAAGGAAAAGGATGAACTAAATAATATACTATTTAAAGAAAATAAAAAATAATTTTATATTTTTTGTTATCCATATGTTTCTCATTATTATTTTCTCAAGTGTATATCTTTTTATTAAGTAAAATTTTAATCTTATTCTCTACAAGTGTTATGATTTTATATTTATTATAATAATATCACCAGGATTAATTTTAATGTCTGAGATATTATTTATTTTAAAATTTTTATCTATTACAATTTTATTAAAGATAATGTATATAAATTCTCATTAACCCCAATTATTAAGCAACGAGTAACGTACCAAAATAGTTGTACTTTTATATAGTTAATCATTCTCATATTTTTATATTATTAATTTATTTTTAAATCTTTTTTTTAGCTTTTATTTATATTTATGTCGTTTTTTCACTTATTTAGTGTATTTCACTATTTTTTTCCTAATTTTTTAAATATATAAAATATAGTAATTACTTTTTCTATATTTTTTTCTCTTATATGAATTATAATAATAAATCATAATATATTATATGTATGATATTTTTTTCCTTTTCAATGAAAAAAATAGATATAGAAAAAATCCTTTCATATATAAAAATATAAAAATATATATATATATATATATATAATATCATATTGTATATTTCTTTATTAAATTCTAAATTGACGGGTAAGATTTTAAATTATGTTCAAAATTTTAAATTAATATAAATATATAAATAAATAAATGGAAAGATCCACAAAGAATTTCACTTTTTATTGTTATTATTTATTTTTTCACAATCTAATATTTTAAAATATCTTAGATTGTTAAAAAAATATATATTTCTTGTATTTAAAATAAATACAAAATATCTTCATATATATATATATATATATTAAATGATTTATACGTTAAATTACAATTTAATTTTTAATAGTAATTTATTCAAATAATTTAAAAGCATTCAAACATCATATTTAATCATGGATATGAAAATGAATTATGTAACACTTTTTATTCAAATCAAATCATAAAAAATTAATCTTCTTTGAGTGATGGCTTATGAAAGTGAATTATGTAACTTTTTTGTAAGCATTAAAATATATTGTTGTTGGGTGATGGGTGATGGGTGATGAAGATGAATTATGCAGAGAAAGGGTCATATATATATTTGAAAGGTTCAAGCAATTAATGATGGTTGAAAATGAGTTAATCTGGTCTTAATTAGTCCATGAATCTTGCAAAGCATGTGTGACATTAAGTGGGAAAAGATTTGAACCCTAAATACTGTGAGGGGTGGCCTTCTCGTGATCCTAGGTTTAGCTTTTGCTCTTCATGGAATTAATAAAGGACACACGAAAGAACATGTGATTTGAACAAATCTGTCACCAAAACTACGAGTAGTATTAGAAACCATTTGCTGGTTTTCTGCACAACACGATCACTTTTTAATTCGCTCTTAATTGCTTTGATGGAATTGTAGTTGTTGCCTTTACAAACTTATCTATACTTTAACCATATCGGTAGGTTTTTGTTATTTATTGTTTCAACCAAGAATTATTTTTAATCTTATGTATACCCCAACATAATTATTTTTAATCTTATCCTAAACGTTAGTATTAAATATATTAGATATTATTCATTTTAAAATTATGATCCATTTATTTTTAAAAGATATTTCAGTAATATAATATACATGTATATGATATTCATGAAATAAGAAATATCTGAAGGAAAAATTGTGTTGTGATGCATGTGAAGAAGGGTTCACGTGTTGAGATACCTTACATGCTATCTTTTCATCCACCGTATATAATTTGTGAGAGTGAGAATAATGTGAGTGTGTTTCTTTTCTTCTAGAATTGCCATCTTCATTATGCCCATTTTGCAACGTAAGATGAAGTTTGCTGATAATAATCGTGCATTTACACATATATGTGAGACAGCTTCCAACATGATGCATCACTTGGTATTTATATTTTATACTGCAAACCTAAATAATAAAATAGGGTAATGTTTATTAAATTTTTGGTATTTTAGAAAATAAGTATGTATATATTTTAAAAAATGAGCAGAGGTTTATTTGAAAAAAAAAATATTACTTGTAAGATTAGAAAATCAATGATAGAATGAGATTTATTTCCTGTATACAACCAAAAATAAAAATAAACTGTATAGAGATACTTAAACATATAAAGATGTATTCCATAATAATATATTTTATTACATATAATTACATACAAATAGAAAATATTAGTGCGAAGAAACATGTTTAAACGGGTTAGTTTATTATGTTTTTTTCCATCCAACCAGTAAAAAATAGTTGTGATGAATTTATTTACTGTATTGAAAAAATGTTTAAATTTCTCATTTTATTAGTATTGTAATAAAGATAAAAAAATAAAGTCTGCAGTACTTTGTATTGATTAACACAAATGTACAAGGTGGAGAAAAGTTTTTTATAAAGTTATGTTTACAAGGAAATGACTTTAACATAACAAAGAATTGATAATAACTTTATTTCTCAAAATAGAAAAATTATTTTATAACGGTAATACCCTCTCAAGTTGGGTGGTGTATGTTTCTTAAATCCAACTTGGATATATTTTAAGCAAATAATCTGGTTACAAAGACTTAGTAAAGACATCGACAAGTTGATGTTTAGAGGAAATATGAGAAAGTACACTGACGGATCTTCTTGGGAGCTGAGGGCCCGTAAGTTTTGTAATTTCCATGTAATTTATGATTTTGACCCCCTTTAAATTTAATGAACATTTAATACATTCACTTGTTTATTTACAATTTTATCCTCTCAACCGCTCCTCAATTTTGTAATTCTCATATATTTTATTATTTTGTCCCCCTCAAACTTAATAATCATTTAATATATTTAAGTATATATCTACAGTTTTATCCTTTCACTCTTTCATCTTCTTTTTTATTTTATATTTATTTATTATTTATTAATAATATATTATTTGGTTCCCTCGAGATCAATGTTTAAGATCCGTCACTAGAAAGGACAATGAGTCATTCAATGATCTTGGTATGATTGAGATGACAATCCACCTCAATATGTTTTGTACGCTCATAGAAAGATGGATTCTTTGCTAATTGAATGGTGGACTAATTGTCACAAAAAGTAGTCATCGACAAAGGGATGTTGA